CATTTAGATGTATATCTATGTAAAGAGAGTCTCTTCTTTCTTTAACATTTGAAATTGTACGTGCCATTGGAGTTTCAGGTGATTGTTGCAGGACCTGGATGCAGTCCAGGTCTTGCTGCTGGTTGGTTCTGTAAGGTACCAGTTGCAGTATTATTGGGCAGAGAATGTTTCCTGGATTTCAGTCCTCTCCGCGCACAGGGAATGTGACTGTTGTATGGAGGTGTTGGTGTCTAAGGAAGGAAGATTCTGTTGAAGGCTTTTTCAAGAGCACAGCAAGCAGTTTAAAGGGATACCGTTTATGAGGATTTGCCAGAGTTTTGTAGGTCAGATATATTTGCTTAGGATTCAAACAAAGCAACAGATTACATTTTGTCTTCTCCTTTAGGTATGCTTCAGAGACTTGAGGAAAACTAATCAATGTTGAAACAAAAGTGGTGGCTTTCTGGTGACTGCTATATTTTTGACAGCTAAACACATCACTGCAATTTTCCTTCAAAGTGTGGAACATCCTCATTGTAACTGAAGATTTTAACTGTATCTTCTTTTACTGTAGAGACAATGCTGTTCTTGATGAAACCATAACACCATGAAGCCTGCTCACAAGTGGGATGAAAATAATTGCACTTCGCATGTCAAGGGTGCTATCTTTCACGACATCGTGTTTATGTTCCTATGTAGTTTTCATTGGGAGGCCATAGAGCTACAGGTCTCTAGGGAGATCTGGTAGCCAAGTCATAAATAATGTGCTCTCCTTCAAGACTCTATTGTAAGATATTAAGCTTATTAAGTACATTAGACTTTTACATGAATAGTGTTAGAGAAATGACTTTAATTAAATGACTGGATAATACAAGCACTCTACAAATAGTTACAGCTTAATACAGGGTTATTAATCAAAATTGGCATCCATGAACATGCGGTTCCTTCAATATATTTGTATCGTGTTGAAGCAAGTAGGTGGAAAATTGAGATTTAGTTACTAGATACTCGAAATACACTTTGCTGTCCAGCTTCCATTGTGCCTAAGGAAATGACTTTTGACTCATTAGTGCTTCAGAAATGTCATGTCTTTAGAAACAAATCAATAAATAGAGAAGGCATCAAATTAGTGTTATGGCCTTGCTTTGTTCTTTTACTTAATGGTTCACTTGCTAGTCGACTAGACAGGCCAGCTACATTGGAATAAGTGACGGCTTTTGGTGTTAGATAGTGGCACTGGTAAGTTAGTACAGTGTGCTGGTGTCAAATAGTGTTGCTAGTGTCTCAGCTCGAATACTTTAAACTAGATAAATAACTACCCGCAGAAGCTATGGGTGCTTTGAAAAGTGATCTACTTTTAAAGCATCTAGATATCAAGTTAGAGAGACTGATGTTTGGTACCAGTTCTGAAAACACCCACCTTAATGTTTTATAATAAACTAGAGAAGAAATGATCACTCTTGGGGAAAAGAAAATGAAAGAAAAGGTTAAGTATGATGTAATTTCCATAGTATTATTCATACAGTTTACCAACAAAAACAAAAATAAAATGCTGATTTAATGAGAGCATAATAGCAGAGGCTGGACTCTTCAGAGGAGCTTCAACTCTTTTGAACTAAGACTTTTGTGTTGTTTAAGAAAAGCATAAAAATGATAAGCATTTTGGAAATTTTATCCTAATCATACAGGCAAGTAACTTGCTCACATTTTTAGTATTTGTTTACATTCCGCTATAGTGCCACAGAATTCTAAGACTAGAAGCCTAAACAGAAATTGTAATACCATATAAAATAAGGAAAATCAGAAACATATTCTGTGCAGTAAGGCTTCAGTTTTTGCAAACTCATTAGCTTTACTTTTTTCTCTGATTCTAGAATGCCCAAATGTCTCTATGACTTAACCTAGCAAATTCTGTCTACATCCTGGTACAATGTAACTTGGTTTAAAGTATGCAGCCAAACTCTGTGGGTAACCAGTGATTTTGTTGTCTCAAATTCAATAGTATACTTCTATAATAATTCTGTCATGGCAGTCAAACTATAATCAACTGAATTTATATAACAATCTTTGTAAAATGGAAAAACATAAATTTAAATATTAAATCGAAAAATGTTATTTTAATATGGAACTCTTTTTATTTTATATACCATATTCCAGTTGTAGTGGAATATTAGGCATACTACATTACATAACACATTGCTGTCATTTTATAAGCTTAACAAACCATCATGTGATGAAACATACAAAATCCAACAAAATAAAAAGGCTGCAAAATAAGGGAGCAAGGAGGTTTTGGCAGTTTTAATAGAGATCCTGGTTTAGAAACAGTGTCAGACATTAGTTTATGCTCATAATGCAACTAGACGATTATTATTGCATTTCATTTATAGAAGGGCTCTACCATCATTTTAGTGTTCCTGTTCTTCAAAAGCATCATTCCTTGTTTTTTGCCTTTAAAAGAAGAGATTATACAAACAAAAATAACTTCTTGTGTCTTGAAGAGCACCCTGAGTCGTGACTGTGGCTTTTGTGGAATATGGCATTGATGCTAATAACTATGAATCTCCGTTGCATTTGGACTGGCTGATGTTTGGTTTTGGAAATGGTGAGATTTGACAGTAGGATGCTAGTATAATTTCTTACCTTGAGAAGTTTTGAGTCCAGAAATATGTGCATATGCTCATACAATATTTAACAATAGCATTCAGCCACTGGCACTGGCTACTATTCCAATATGCTATTGTGTGAAGTATTTAGAAAATTTGTCTTCAATAGCTAAAATAGGTGACAAATGAAAAGCTAGTTTTAAAAAAATCTCAGGTATTAAACACAGTTCTGGTCCTCGCTGCATTATCAATGAGAATGGAGAAGACCTTGGAGCTCTGCAGAAATGGCAAGGTGGCAGGGTTGACCAGAAAATAGCTAGTGTATGAGGAGAGATGAAATACACTTGGTTGTATGATAGTGATGCGGAGGAGGCAAACAGAGAATGACTTCTCACCATTTCTCTCAGTGTAAGAATTATTATCAACCAAGGTCCATGATAACAATTGAAAGGAATGTCACATTAGACACAAGTAATGGAACTTATTTCTACAGGATTCTGTAAGTGTCAGGTACTAGAAAAAAAACAGTGAAAACTTATGGACATTAGTTTTCATGAAACAGTAGTCTAGTTTCAGATTTTGCCTGAGGTAGATCCTAAATCCTGGTTCCTCAAATACAGGAGGATATAGTAAAGAAGGGATTGTGAAGTTCTGTTTCAATAATCTGTCCTCAAAAATTGCTGCTGGCAACTCCGTGAGACAGTCTGCTGTTCCTCATGAAATTTTGGTTCAACCTAGAAGGAAAGATCTGATTTTGAGAAGTGTTTGTCAGGTTGTTTTTCCTTGGAGTCAACTTCAAACTTTGATTTCAATGCGTAAGTTACCTTCAGATGGCAATGTGTTAGTCATTGAATGCTCTGTTGTGGAGTCCAAACTGATCTGCTATCACACAGGTTAAACATCGATACTGTTCAACTCTGGGAGTATTGTATAAATAAATGACTAAAATACTGCTGGGAAACGTACATAGTCTGCTTATGAATACAGATTTCCCAATAGCTGAAGTGCTTTAAAATGGAAGTGATTTACTACACAATAATTTTAGTGTTTATTAATTTATTATGCTTTGAGTATAAATAGTTTTGTTGTTACCTTGCAGTTGATTGTGGAGAACACATTACTACTGAAGAGTTTGACTTAGAACCATAGAATATTATTAATTGGAAAGGCATCTGCTCCAGTCACCTTCTCAGAGGAGGACCAAATTGGATGAGGTTGCTCAGGGCCACGTACACTTGCATTTTGATTATCCTTAAGGAGGGAGGTTCCACAGCCTTTCTGAGCAACCCCTTTCAGTGTTAAACCACCCTCACAGTGGAAAAAAATTCCCATGTATCTAATCAGAATGTTCCATGTTTCACTTTGCATTCCCTTTTCAAAATCTGTCTTTTAATCGTGCACTCCAAGAAGAGTCTGGCTTTACACTATCCATACCCTTCCTTTAGCTAGTTGCTGACAGCAATAAAGTCCCCCTTAGCTTCTCTCCTCCGGGCTGGACAAACCTAACGCTTACAGCCTCTCTTCATATGCTACATGCTCCAGCTTTCTAATCATCTTGGTGGCTTTTGCTGGATTCATCCAAGTATTTCATTGTCTGTCTTATATGGGAGAGCCCAAGAGTGGGTACAGTTCTTCAAGTGTGGTAGCTCAAGCCCTGAATAGAGGGAAACAATCGCTTTACTTGACCTGTTGGCTATGCAGTTTTCAAGAGTTACAGTTAAAACACCAGCTTCTAACCTATGAGTGAGGTTGGTTTACAGTAGTGCTTAGGAAAGGTCTGACATACTCAGGTTCTTGTAAACTTTAAAGCTACAAGTTTTTCTCAGAAGCTGAGGAGGTTTAAATATTAAAATTCAGAAATAGCATTTATGGTACAAAGCTTCTTTAAAAATATTTTCATAAAATATTAGCTATCCCAGTGTACAGGGTGAAGTGCTGTTGCTGGTAATATGTTATCTGTTTCCTGATAATTAGGTGGAAATTTCTTATCTGATAAATCCTTTCTGTGTGTTGGTTCAGAGTATAATCACCCACTTGTTATAATTGCTACTAAGTGGATAGCTCAATAAAGTTTTCCTGTTATCTTCTATAATGCATGGCACAGATCTCTTCCACCTTGGGTACCTACTGACCGTAGCAGATCTGAGAAAGGATGAAGAAATGAGGACAGAGTGGAGGGAAGTGAGAAAGTATTCTGTAATGTGATTAGTGACAACTTACCTAATTACCCTACTTGGAAAGCTGGGTCTTATCAGGTCTTCAGTAGTGATAAAAATCTAGGTAAATTAATTATTCAGTGGGAAGTTGCCCTTTCATTGGCTCTCATATATATTTCAAGGAAAAGCAATACTTCTCTCTCCGTGGAAAATTTTTACCTGAAGTTCCAAATACTCTGCATGTTTGTTTTTTTTCCAGAATACCCATCTCTTCTTTTTCTCAAGACAACATTTATGAAGTCCAACCTCCAAGAGCTGATAGGAAATCAATAGAGATTTTTCACGCGCACATTCAGGCTGGAAGAGGAAACATGCAGCCCCTGGGAAAAGATGACTTCCTCATGTACAGAGAGTACATTCGAAACAGATACATGTAAATACGAGATGGATTCTCCTGCCAAGTCTACTATACTGATGGGTCATAAAAATAATTTTAGAAAGGAAACCTAATTTGGTATTTTGCAGTAATAAATTTATTATCTAACGTTTCTATTTATTATGCTTTACAATAGTACATTTACACTAGTGTGCTTTACAGGAAAAAAAGAAAAGTGATTTAATATCTGTTCTTCAACTGAAAGAGAAAGTGTATCTTAAGAGACTAAGTGAATGGTCAGAGCACCTACAGTCACTGAAGAGTATGTAACAACTTATGGCAAAGAAAGCATTACATTTTTAGGTTTTATATTCATTTCTTACCTTGTTATGTTTGCTAGTGAAGTTGAAGTTATTTGTACATACAGCTCAGAAGATAACTTTTCTTCCTTTTTGTTCCATGATAGCAAACAATCTTATTTTATAACAGAATATTTTCTGATATTTCTTGAAATTTTTAGCAAACTAAGTGCTAAAATGACTACTTGTAATTTTCTGTTTTCTTAAGCAAAAGTAGAAATATTGTGGCTTCTGTCAAAATCAAAAATTGCATCAAGGCTAACAAACTTTGTAACCCTAATTTGTGTCAAAACTAATCTCACTGGTGCTAGTAGCTACGGAATCTGTGCCACTTGCAGGGGGAAAATGGCGTATGACCATCATGGGCTTCTAGTAGGAATCTGTGGTGAACCACTTGCTGGCTGCATCTGCAAATGAAGGAACGCTCTCCACTTTACTAGCTTTAGACTTAGAGAACACAAAACCATCCTGTCATTTTTCTGTATGACAGGCATTATCCTTCTTGCAGCATACTCTTTCCATCCCTGTATTTGTGCTTCTGTGAGATTCTTTCAGGTTCAAGCCTACAGCCTCCCAAGAAATCGGTAAGTGATGTATAGAGACTGGATCAGCTGGGGTGGTCATGCAAGAGGAAGCAGTAGTTGGGTTAGGCAAGACTGAACATCATGCCCAGTGCTAGGTAAGAACTGGAGAGGCAACAGGTATCTGAAATAAGTTGTTTAATTTGAGCTTGTGATTAAAGCATTTCTCAAATGAAAAATAAAAAGGGGGGGTAAAAAAGCCTCTTATTTTCAACTACAAGCTAAAATTCCTAACACTGCTTTCTAGCCCTTTGCCATGAAGAATACTGACAGTATCAGCAGCATCCTTTACAAACTTAAGTTATTCTGTAAGCTTGTACAGACCATATTTCAGAATTTTCTGGAATAACTGAATTAACCGTTTTAGGGATGTCAGCCAACTGCATGTAATAGATGCAGAGAACATGTTTGTGTTCGTAGTAAATCGCTTGCAGGCAGATTCTTGGCTGCTTGCTGCAAACATATTCTGAATATGTTTGAATATTTTGTGTGATAAGTTGCACTTTCATCAGTAATTCAGTGTAAGAAAAGATGCAGTGGGCAAAGGGAAAAGATAGAAGCATCTTGTGATTAAAGTTTGTGTGTTTCAGGGAGTGACTTGTGTACAGTCAGTGAGAGAACATGGTACCTCAAGCTACCAAAACATTTTGGTGTCCATTCTCTTTTGTTAATTGTTTAATACTGTTTTAAGAGAAATTGGTTTATTTTAGGAGATGAAAGAATGAAATGTCACTTTAGATAATACTTCATTGCAACTGTCAAAGTTTTTTTCTCTGAAAAAAAAACCTGTACTGAATTCTTTTGTCCAAAATGAAAAATAATTTGAAGAAATAAATGCTTGCTTTGGAAAAATGTAGAGTTGGAGTCCTTATCCTAATGAGGCAAATGCGTGTTTTTCTTACTGCACTTAAACTATTGCAAAGAATGTTTTCTAGACTATCACAATCTTTATACTTTTGTTATTCATAGATACTGGTAATTCATAAAATTTGCCCTTGAAAGTGTTACCACTTAACCACAGATAAGGCAAAGGGTAATGCTTCCTTTTTCAACATCTAATGTTGTTGCAAAATAAAGGAATTATAATAATTTTACAGCTCTAAGAGAAAATACGTTCAGCCTTCAGCAATTCAAACACTGCTCAGTTCTGAGAGGTGAATGACATCCCAGTCCATTATCTGTAATATAATGCCAGGCTTTTCAGTGTGTCTCTAATGTGTGCCACGACAGTCATGCTGTGGCATCCCTTTGAATCTTCTAGTATGTGTAACTGCTGCTTATTTCTCATAGTTGCTTATAGGGGTTTATGCCATGTGTGTTGCTTCATATGATAAGGTGGTTGGGTATTTATATTCAGGCGATAGTTTGTGTGATCTGCCATTGTTGTACTCTTAGCAGCTGCTAAGAATACTTCAGGGTGCTAATGCCAACCATTTACTAAGTTTGTTTTAAAAAATAAAACAGCACAAACCAAGACTCCCAACTTAACACTGCCTGAATGATAAACTTTCAACAGTCTGAATTTATCTGCTCCTTAATGGATGTAAAGGGTTAATTTAAAAAGAAAATACGCTCATCACCCATCTAACAAGTTCAGTTGTACGAAGGACTCCAGAGGTGCTGCCTCTGCATCTGCCTACTTTATTCTGTTCAGTGCTCAACCATGTTAGCTCTTTTTGACTCCCAAGTGCTAATGATCATCTTTAACATGAACCTATACGGACATACAAATATTTGAGAAATGTGTTGCTTTTCCTCCAAAACATATTTAGTTTGTTTCAGTGTTTTTGAAGGTTACATTGAAATGCAATACCAAAATGTACACCTGGAGAATGATTCTGGCTTCTTTTCTTGTGCAATCAGGAAGCACAGACATCGTGTTAGGACTCTCTTTTCTGAGCCAGTGGTTCTTTGATGCCAGTCCAACAGCTTAAGCTTTGTTCTATGAGCCTCTTCAGATTGATACTTGGGAGCATTTATTCCCCAACTCTTTCACTGGTAGTTTCCCCTCCTTTCGAGTTTTACTTCTGCTTGCAAAGCCCACTGACTTTTTGTTCTTTCCCTCTCATTCCTTTCCAGAGAGACTCGTCTGTGGCCCTGAAATAGGAGCCTTTTGATGTGCACACAGCTGCAGCTGCCAGAGGGGAGAAAGTGGAAGAGTTGTAGTTAGTTCTGGGATGACATTTGTGGCAGCTCTTTGTTTTGTTACTGAGATTTTTGCACAGGATCCCAGGAAGGTTCTGTTGGTTTTCACAGACTCAGGCCGGCCTTCACTTGTATAAATTCCAAAGCATATGACCTGTCAAAGAGTCATGTTTTACAGTAAGAGAAATACCAGCTTCACTTGGGAGATCATTTCATTCTCCATAGGAGTTTCATCCTATCAGTACTCCCTGAATAATTACACATCCAAGTACAGTTCAATGCAGATAAAATGATGTATGTGCCATTCTTCAATAGTTGCGTGAGTGTTATGGATAAAGTATTATTCCATTTGCTGGCACAGATTGAATCAGATTGATCACCTGGAGCCTTATATGGAAAAGATATAATGTGCTTGACTCCCTCATGCCTCCCTCTGTCTTCTATATATTTTAAAAAATCTAATTAAAGTTGTCACTTTTGGTGGTGTTTTAAAAGTTATGTGGAACTAATGCAATACAGTACAAAATATTCATTAAAAAAACCCCAACAAACCATACATTGAAATCACAACCTTTGCAAATACTGATATTCAGCAGTTCCCTACTGCAGTTCTTAAATCTGTATGCTATGAAGAAAACCATTACACCTGCTAATCTGTCTGCTAGAATCAAGTAAAAGAGCACTGAGAAAAGGCATGGGAAATAAAGTTTAGCATTACTGTATTTTTCTGAAGGAGCAATATGTGCTTTTTGCCATATCTGACCCCAGGTTTGAATATAACATTTAACTTCCATTCTTTTGAATGTATTCATCTGTGAAGAACAGAGATAGTGTAATAAAGGTAGGACAGGCAAGCACCATGTAATGAACCATCTTTGCTGGTCCATCTGCATTTTCCCATTCTAGGTGTAGCTGTACTACTGGCGCTAAAGCCCGCTGTGGTTATTAGGTATTACAGTAGCTGCAGAGTATGCAGTTGTGGTGGTCTTCCCATTTTTAGCATGCAGCATGTACAAGATAGTGTGCACATTGCAACCTCCAAATCCTCTCAAAAACCCTAGGCCTTGCAAGAGCAGATATTTTGTATTCCTCACAATTCCCTGGCAGCTCAGGTACTCTTTTTTTCTGTAAGGGTTATCTTTTATTACCCTATTTCCCTTGTTCTTCTGATTTTTCAGTACTTTGTTTGATTTCCCTTTCCCTTCCTTCTTTGCCACCTGTGGTTCAGAATCCTTTCTCTTACCCAGAGCTGTGCCATAAGTTGTACACTATATCCATATCCTTTTGGAGCTTTCACTTCTTGAAGGAAAGCTCTGTAAATTTTACCCTTTTATTTAAAAACTTTAATGCTTTCTTCAGCCTCCGTGTATCTGCTTTTTTAAATGTAGGCTGTGCCATCATCTGCCCTGCCCGATTTCCTACCTCCTGCCGTGGCAACAGACGTGTGTATTGCCTCTCTGGGGTTCTCCGTGTCTTGGTAACGTATTCCTGAGAAGTGCTGTGCTTGGGTACAGGATGTTAGTGCTTGAACAAATTGTAGACATCACTTAGAATCTTTTTCCTCTAGAGAAAGTCAAGCGCAGCTCTGATTAAGAAAGTAAGAGAGCGTTTAAAGTGGTCTCCTTTGATTGTCTCTAGTCCTGCTATAGCAGCACTCTGCATCCTGCTGCGTGGACTTGTCTGAGGGGGAGGAGGGCATTTTTTCACTTGTACTCCCAAGAAAGTGGATGCAGCCCGTTTGACAAAGCCAGTGTGGCACGTGTCAAAGTTGACTGGTGTGTCCAGGGAGAGATTTTGCAGCGACAAGCCTGGCTCAGGTCCCTCAGGGCTGTTTAACCTTCCAGTTCTGTTCCCTCCCAGCGCCTCTTCCTCCGCAGCAGCAGTGGGCTCAGACGTGCAGAGGGCAGGGACTCACATCGCCGCCTCCTCTGGCCGTCCCCCCCGCTAAAACCGGCACTAACCCCGCCGCGGCGTTAGGCTGGAGCGCGGGCCGGGCCCCCGCGGGGTGCTGTCCCCAGCACCACGGACAGCTCCAGCCCGGGGGGACGCGCGGCCCCTCCGGCTGCGCCCCTGGCACAGGGCAGGGTCCCATCGCTCCTCTGGGAGGGGAGATAACAAACGCCGACTACGTTATCGCCTAATCAAACCCACTCTCTTAATCTGGGAATATACCGGGAATGAGTTTTGTTGGCTTTGGGAGGACGGGTGGTATGTGGTGACTTGTGCAAGTGAAACCTCAGTTTGAAAAGCAGCTTCACGCACCTAAAACCAGCCCCTGATGACTGTCACCTGAGTGCTCTCCAAAAATATTTGTTATCTGCGTCAGGTCCTTAAAGCGCCTGTTATCATATGCCGGGTATCTGACTGAAAAGTGTTAAAAGTGAGCTTTTGTATGTCACTAAGATGTAAGAAAATGCAGCTTACAGGCTGTGTTATTTATTCTTCTGAAGATAGACAACATATTCCTTTAACATTGCATCAGAAGCCATTTTTTCTGTGAACAGACCTTCCTGTGCAAAGTGGAA